CTGCTTTCTGACATCCGGTCGAACGAACGAAACATGATAAAAACTATCTTCTTCTCTTTCCTCGAGAAGCAAAAGATCAATGATATCATATCAACGAAAGAGACGAAAGAGACATTACTAATTGTACGTTTCAAATTTCGAATTAAATCTTTTCTAACTTTTTTTTCTTTTTTTTCTCTCCATTGACGAAACGTAGGATTCGTAACGACGACTAGGATCACACATGCTACTCCAGCTGGATTGTACGCTCATACGAATAATCGTGATTGGGAATGTGATACAGCGATACCGAAAGAATATAAAGATTGTGTAAAGGATATTGCGAGACAACTAATCGAAGACGCACCGGGAAACAAGTTTAAGGTAAGAGGATATATTTGTTCTTCATCACGCTGCCGGTTATAAATACATATTGGGATATATATCTGAATACTCTTGTACAAGTAATTGAACTAATATTATTAGTGAAATAATTACTATTACTGTTAATATTAGACAACATTAAATGATATTATTAAGCAGTCAATTACACAGAATTTTATAATATTTATTATTATTAATATTATCAATTATATATTATAATGTTATATTAATAATTATATATTAAATATGTTATAATTATAATTGTATGTTAAATTTGTTTATTGCAAAGTTGGTCAAAATGTTTCACCATCGTCATAATAATCGTATAAAGGTGCAAATATATGAAATAAAAATCTTTTCAAAATCTTTTCATATACCACGCATAATTATATTCGCGAAAATATATTCATATATTTTCATCATCGTTCGTTTAACGATTAGTTAATTAACTTGATTATTTTATGCCAGGTAATCATGGGTGGTGGAGCGCAACACATGGGTTTACCAATGTCTGACCCGATAGATCCCGATACATGCGTCAGAGGAGACGGGCAAAATTTAGCGGCCACATGGTTGGAAAATAATCCCAAGGGGAAACTAGTGACTGACACCGAGCAGCTTCTCTCCATTGATATTGCTAACACGTCGAAAATTCTTGGAATTTTTACACCTAGTCATCTCCCTTATCACACTGTGAAGACGAATCGGACGCCAACTTTGGCTGAGATGACTCAACAGGCTATTCGATTGCTTCGAAAGAATGACAATGGTTTCTTCATGATGGTGAGTGAATGATGAAACGATCGGTTCTTCATGAATTTTAACAAAAAAGTTGTTCGTTGTTCTGTAAGAAAGTAAGCGTGTACAAGTTAATCCTTCGAATACTCGTTAAAATACTTCGATTTGTTTATCAAATGCTACAGATGATTGAAATTTATATTGATTTGTAGGTGGAGAGTGGAAGAATTGATATGGCTCATCACCACAATTATGCTCAGCTAGCGATGCGAGAGCTGTCAGAACTGGAGGAAGCGATATTGGTTGCATTGCAACAAGTTAAATTAGAAGAAACATTGGTGATCGTAACTGCAGATCACTCGCACGCGTTCTCCATTAATGGTTATCCGAACCGAGGAAACGACATCCTTGGCTTTGCTAATGATCCAAAGAAGACAAATGTACAACCCTACGAAACACTTAGTTATATCAACGGCCCAGGCTTTTATCATCATAGGCGGAACGACAGTCACGATATCAACGAAACATGGATTCCTGTCGATCAAGATAAGACACGCAATGATCCATATTACACTCACATGGCTGGCGTATACTTGGAAGATGAAACACACGGAGGCGAAGACGTTGGAGTGTATGCGATAGGTAATTTAATTTATTTTTAATTGAACCTTATTCCAATTTAGTGAACTGTTGCTTTCATGTACTATATCTACTAATATTAATACATTAATAAATTGTTATAGATAATGATATGTAAATAATTTTAATAGATTCAAACACAAATTTCAGATGTTGTATTTTGTGTCTTGTGTACCTGTAAGGATTGAAAATTTTAGGGTGATTTTTTTTTAATATTCATATTAACAATACACGAATGTCATTATTATATTATATAGAAATTAATGAGGAATTACAAAATTAGCAATAAAAGTAACTCTATCTCTTACGAATATATGAAATTTAAAATCTTATCAATCATTTGTTGAAATTAAATATACGATTGTTGTCTAACCTGTAGTTAGATTGGGCAATACTTTCTGCATAGGATAATGCACTTCTTAATTAATTACTTTGTAATAACAATAAATAAATTGCTACGTATTGTCTTACAGTTACAGATTAATTTCCAAAGTTGAAGTTTACTGTATTGTAATGTTTTTGATCTTTCTTAAGTTTCTGACTTTATAGTCTGACTCTTTAAAGAAGATTCAATTAATGTTCCAAATTTGTTTCAGGTCCTTACTCTCACTTGATCCGCGGTACTTTCGAGCAAAATTACATCGCCCACGTAGTAGCGTATGCGGCGTGTTTCAAAAACTGGCCATCCCACTGTGACGAAGCTTACAGTCGTTATTTCTACGAATTAAGCAACTCGGTAAATCGTGCTACTAACTCACTTACTGTGTCTCTCTTGACGTTTGTGCTTCTTTTAATTGTCGGATTTAATTAACTGAATGCACTAACGGTACGAGCAAGTATGTTTCTTCTTGTTAATCGTATTTTTCAGACTATTCCTTCTTATCCAAAAATCCTGTGCCAAACACCTCATCTTTCCCCTGTCTTCTTTCAATTGTCAAACTCTTCCATATCCGATACTATTTCTTCTTCTCTATTCTATTCTTCTTCGATTACTTCTTCTTCTTTTTCTTTTCTCTCTTCCTTCGATTTTGAAAACAGTACAAAACACACACGTATACCGTTCAAAAGTATCCGAACTCTCGTTTATTTTTTGGTAAGATGTAGTTTAGATGGACAATTTATTAATTTACACGTTTAAAATTAGTTTTAAATAACTAATAAAATATGCAATGAAATTATTGACAATACTTCATAATACGAGACAAATTGTTTGTCTGAACAAAAGTCAGGCGAGGAAAATTTGTCCAAGATAATTAATTCAAATCAACTTTTAGATAAAAAATTGAATCATTTCTCGAATCATTTCTCATTGAAAAAATATAATGAATTTGTGCTATGGAAGTGTATTGTGCTATAAGTTTGTTGCCAGTCGACAGAACAATTCAGTTATTACAATATAATCATTACAATATAATATAATTATTATCTACGATATTATAACCGAATTGATCCATCGACTAAAGTTTTGAGGAAAGTAGGTTTGTAAAACATAAGGTATTTTTTAAAAAATCTACAAAATAAAAAAGATCTACAATTCTATAAAAGGCCGCAAACAGACTATAGATATTTGCTCAAATTTATACCATTTAAATAATTTGAATTTGTACATGTTTGTAAATATTTTATATTTTCTGTTGTAAATAGAACCTAAGCAGTAATTTCGTTTATTTACTGAATATTATAAACCTTGGATACGTTATGTATATTCTTACATACTTTATGTTTTATATCTATTTTTACATCGTCAAATTTCCCATAAATTCATAAAACGCTCACAGTCTAATAATAACTATTGCTTTCGACAATTGATTTGTCATTAATTTAAACATTTCATCAACATTGTTGATGAATGAATTAAAATTTCCTGATACTTGTGAATGGTATACACATACACGTAAGCAGCGAATATTTTTGCAAGTAACTAATTTTAACTAAATTTAGAGCACAGTGTTCGACAATACGAATTGTCCTTTGTATATAATTTTCACAATTCATATTTCAATATTCGGCTCTACATACTAGAGATGTGCGAAAATCTGAAAATCAGGAAAATATCTGGGAACGAGTAGAAATAATAAGTTGCTGCAATATCTGAATATTTCTGCATTGTGAAATATCTCAATTCCTCGAATATATTTTGATATAATATAATCTGATTGTTATTATTAATATATAATATTTTGATCATTAACGATTACGATTAATAACAATTTTCAAAATTATTAAATATAATTAAATTATTAATAAGTTATTAAATCTCCCTAACACCGAGTATGTATACCTACGTAATTAATAGCAAATTTCTTCTTCTTTAATATGATTGGTAGTAATTAATAATTAATCAGTTTAAATTCCGATGAACAGATGAAATATCGGAATTTTCGAAAATTTCGAGAATCTGAAACACGTTTTGGCATTAGCTTTGTTGAATATGACCATTTTTTTTATTTTTGAAACATTTCTGAATCCTATGAAGTATGAAATGATAAAATTTCTCATTTAAGAAATATGACGAGAGATAAAGTAATCCCGAAATGTATTTTTTGATATTTTCTCGAAATGCTTTTGGGATTCGTCACGATTTTGAAAAAAAATATCAATCTGATCCGACTTAATATTTTTGGATTTTCGCACATCCCTTTTACATGGTACATATATATTTATATACTTGCGTATGTGCATGTGTGCACATTGGTAACGCGTTTGCAAGCGTTTCAGGACATAGGTTTAATTTAATTAATGCAGTTTCATCTGTGATATATACGCAAATTAGCTGGTAACAATATCTGTAATGTACTCATTTTTTGAAAAGTGTGCAGTTTGCATGCTGTAGATGAAATGAAAAGAATCAAACAGAAAATTATTTATGATATATTGTAATATGAGGCGCTAAAGGTAAAAATGTACTAAATCCAATGTTTAATAAGTTAACAACAAGTGATTCAATGTTTAAAATAAATATGAACACAAAATATTCCATGCAATAATTAATTTCATTGTGTTGTCTAAGGTTTGATTTGAAAAAGAATGAATTGTATTATTGGGTACAAGAAAAGCCTCAGAATATTATATATTAGTATTCTATATTGTAATTATTAATGAAACAAGAAGAAATATTAAGTTTTTTAATATTAGAAACAGTGTTATATATAACTTCATTGCACATGAGAAATATTGTAACTAATTTTTGTCACTGAAGCGCTTTTTGCATCCAAAATCCAGTACATTTTTATACTATTAATATAGTTTTTTGGAATAAATTAATACATACATTGGATTAATCTATTTTTGCTCTCAGTGTCTCATATATGTTTTCATTTGCTTGATCTTCAAGGCAAGAACGTTCGTTTGCCTTGGTTGCCTTTATCATTCATTTCAATCCTTCTTCAATCTTTTTGAGAAAAACTAATACTGTTAATACACGTTGCAACCAACAAATATTTAAAACATACCAACTTATTATTTAATTAGTCTAATGTCGAGAAATTATACAAATTCACAAAGAATATATGTTAATTAAGGAAATAGACATACACAGTGATAAGGATAATTTTTTCGCATTTATTAAAACGACAAAAAAATGTACATATACTAAAGGCCTAAATTCGTGATGCAAACGAAATCAAGGAAATTCTATAGCTCAAAAAGGTAAGACGAAGATAATAAATAATCAAAAATAATGAAATCACTTGTATTTATTTTTATATGTATAATATGAAATCTTTTGCCAATTAAATGATTTTGAACTTATTTTCGAACTCGATTTTTTTCAAAAATGAAATTTCCAACGTAATTTTGTCGTTTTTAACTTTCGTTTTATTTCAAAAACCATAGTCTTCACGAGTTTATTCATACAACGAATATAGATGAGAATATAGAGTGCCATATAAAAATTAGAAAACCAGAAGAAGAATAATTCATTAACAGAAGCATTGATTGTAATTGACACTTTGCCATTGATGAATAATTAATAACAATAAGTATTTACACTACCGTGCATAAATAATTGGACAATTATAATTAGTGCAATTTCATTAGAAGATGAATGTTTTTCTACTGTTAATTTTCTATATTTCCAAATTTCGTGCATATATTTCAATTGTTTTGAAATTTTAACAATAAATACGTAATACTTGAAATCACTCCACATAGTCTTCAGCCATTTAATTATTATAGTAATAACCATTCTCTTCGACATATATTAAATGTATATATTAAGATTAAATTAAAAATATTCATTCAAATTGTATTTTATGTTGCAATAATTTAGAAGTCCAAGTATTTACATATATAGTGTACATATCTATACGTATACAATTTCTATACACATATATGACACAAAGAATTAGAGTAAAACCGATTTCCCTTTAACAATGGCAATGTAGTGATTCTTATAGATAAGAGGGTTAATATTATCGCTAACAAAGTTTCGATCCGGCTTCACCGATGCAAACGGATTTTTACACGGTGGTAAAAGAACTTCGACGTTCGAGACCGAGTTCACTCGGTTTATTTCCCAAAGCATTTCTTCCTTGGTATAAGACGTGATAGCGGTTGGGACTAACGTTTTAGAAAATTCACGTATCGTTTCGAACCACGTGTCTTTACCAGCAAATCCAGTTTCCCGGTAGAGGCCAGGATTGTAAAGACAAATTAAATCAGGAACAGCGAGATGTTCCGACGCGTCGCGAGCCAGATCGTGGTAAAGCTTCTCCGGTTTAAACGAAACGACAACAGCTCTGCCAGCGGATTTACATTTGTTGCAAATGTTAACCGTGGACAAAAATTGAAGGGGCACGCCGCCTGGCAATCGTAGCTCTGGCCCGATCAAAATTAAATGAAGCCTCTTCAATTTCGGTAAAAAATGAAGGAACAGTTTTTCCCAGACGTCTAAATTTATACCTTCGAACTGAAATTCCGCGCCCAGTACGTGAATAACCCAATCGGTTTTGTCTTGCCATTCGGTGCAAGAAGCTTGCATAGAGTAAAGAGCCGTCAGTGGAATCGTGCACAAATGCGACAACACAGAATACGTGTAACAGTCCATTTGACGATAGTACAAGGAATTCCCATAGATTTCATGCATCAGTTTATCAAAATCGAATCCCGGCTTCGCGACGAACATATCCAGATGCGCATTCGGGATTTCCGGCTCGACGCAACCGTGTCGATGCTGAAGATGCAAAAATCTTTGGAAAACTTGAAACTCGATGCACCAATTTCTGTGCTCTTGCTCGTGTTCCTTGCAAAAGTATTCCATGCCGCATTGCGTGCAACAAATCAATTTCTCGCTAAAACGACGGCAGACTCGACAGACTCTAGGATATAATATGACTTCCTTTTCCCAAAGGTCCAACGACCGTTCGATCTCAGACTCGAGAATCGCCAGCAACTCTAACCGGTAAATACGGTACTGGTCCGCGTCTAATTGTACGCCAGATTCATCAGAAAGCGCCAAGACGATGGACGAGTGAATCTCTGTCAGTGGTTCGCATAATTCGCGATGCTGCGACAGTCCCTGCGTTCGATGCGTTGCCGAGCAATAAGACACCATTCGGCAACGTTCGCAAAACAACGTGGACTTTTGCAGGCAAACCATGCAGAGGCTCGACACGAATACGAATCGTGGTTTCACGCTTACTTCGATGCATTCTTCATCCTCGTTCTCATCCTCGTTCGATAGTATCGATGGATCAACGAATAAAAACGGCTGTACCAACGGGTACGTTAGTCGAGAACGTACACCGATTGGATTATTCGTTTCGTGAAGATCGTCTGGTCTTCCTTTCTTGTAACACGTATCGCCAGTTATTATGCTTCTCTCTGTTGTTGCTCTCGTTTTCCTCTCGTCTTTCGCTTCGGCTTCGTCGCAAATCGTTGGTTTTTCAGAAGCAAAGTTACATTTCGTCGTCTTCGACGGTAAGCTACTTCCTTTGCTCCGATGCTTTCTGCGGCCCATCGCGCTACTCCGTCTCTTTTTCAAATGTAAAATTAATTTGAAATAATTTTGTTTCTTTCTCTCCCTTTCTCTTTCCCTCTTCACTTTTTCTCTCTCTTTCTTCAATTTGACATTTATCGTACAATTAGTTTATAACATGAAGAATGTTGGGCAAACATGATCAACTGACTGAGGGATAATTTTGCATTGCAAAAATGATTTGGAAAGAGAGAGAGTAAAATTCTTTTCATTCAACACTTCGTTTCGAATCATCACACTTTCATTCTATTTTAATTCAAAATATTATATAACAAATGCCTTTCAAATCCTTCTCAAATAGTTTTATTCGAATCGATAGCATTCGATCAAAAAAAAAAAAAAAAAATACAAATGAATAAGCAAACGAATCCAGATGAAAGAACAAGGGAGAGAGGGAGAACTATTATGAATAATGAACTCTCTTACCTTACAATATTACACTATATGAAAGTAATAATATGTTAAATAGCATTTATTACGTATATAGATTTATTATTATTATTATTAAGAAAAAGAACAATTATCCAATTCTCGTTGGTCGATTTTATAAGAATAAAGAGCGCGCAATCAACGCGAACTATCTCGTCAGTCTCGCACAATGCACGTATGTACCTCGCTTACGGGCACTATGCCCACTGCCCAGATAAAGGTATTTCGAGCATCATTTGTCGGTGCCCAGGATAACTCGCACCTGAATCGATTAGTCTTCATTCGTGATAAAAAAAATTTATCACGGTAGAATCGTCTCTAATTTCTTCCTTCGAATTTTCTCTTCGAAATCAATATTCTTGCATTATTTTACGATCATTTTCTATTAATTTTTAGTAAGACCCCTCGCATTTTCAAAAAACTAAAAACGCAAGAAAAAACACCTACACATGAACATAAGTCAATCTTTCGCTTACTATGTTGCTTTAACTTTCCGATTTATTTATTTAGTTTATTTAGTTCGTATTATTATCAATGTCTTCTCAACATATATATTCCCTGGTCGTTTTATATAACGTATGCTAAAATTAACGAAACAGAGAATTTCATGTACAAAATTACATGACCGTCCATCGACATTGCATACTAAAATACTAATTCTATTCTATAAATTGTCATAACATTAAAAAAAAAAAAATTAGTTCAAAATAGCTTTGCCACTTTTGTACAAACTCTAAGAGTATCGATAAAGTAAATTTCTTTCCTTGTTACGTTTGCGTGTGAACTATCGTATCATTTATTATCAACTATTTATTATCCAGTTGCCTGTTCTTTACCGTATGCACTTGATCTCGCGCACTTTCAGTACTTCTTTTACGAAGTCAGTACCACGAAGTTATAACTTCAAATTCCTCGGACTTGAACTTATCGACGTAAGACATTCTATTGCGTATGTATGCATTATCAAAAATAAACATCGATTATAATCTGAAATTTTTTATAACTATTAATCATTCGTATTATAGCAGTTCATACTTTTTCGCTGATAACTCAGAACGCCTCCACGTGGTTGAACAACGAACGAATATGGAGCCGTATTGTATGTTCGAGGTAGGTTATATGGCGTCGAGGTTATGTTTACCACGTTGAGATATCATCACTGCGGCAACACAGGACATTTCTGCTTTAATGCCGGAAATTTACTTATAAAAATACTACTAATAGCCAGAATATCCGCATCAATGTTAAATATCTCGTACGTAAAATCAACAATCTTGCGCTATGCAATTATGATGGAAATACCTTTTGTTTGCTTTATCATATAAACATGATGACATTTTAACCTGTAGCATCCCCGTTTCGATGAAATTTCTTGCACAGTGTAACATTCCTTTCCATGATAGAATAATGATGCAAAAAACTGCATTTAAATTACAATTATCTTTTTTATTTTTTGACAGTCTCGGAAAACGAACCTCCTGCATACGTTTTTATGTCAGTAGATAAACGTCAAAATGTATCTTTGTTTGATCTTTATTAGCTTCACTCTCATTTATTTTTTGATATCTATAATTTTTACTCAAGTTATTCTGATTTTACAATTAATTTCACTACCAGTGTCTTTCATTCCCTCTGTTCTCTGTCAAAACATCATCCATACAATTCATAATTGTTCTCGTCGAATTTTCGATTCGATTACGATTAAAAAACAATCGATTACGAAACAGGTAGAGCAATATGCTTGATTTCGTCTCAGATGGATCATGGCTGAAAATATATCGAGATCGATCGTTAAAGAGATAATCGATACACGCCTAATCTCGTTAATATGACACATGAAGTAATGAAAAAAAAACAAAACATTTTCGAAACGAATATACAATAAATACTTTTTTCCTGAACAGAATGCATGCTTTTTCTTATACGATGCCGATTTTCGTTTTGTAAAGCAAGAATAAAAAAAAAACAAGCTGTAATATGTACAATGAAAACATATTTTTATTTCAATGTACGCAATTATGATTATTGTTAATTATGCGGTAGAAAGAAAAAAATATATCAAAAATGGAAAAAATAGAGCAATGTAATAATGACAGCGATAATAAGAGTGATGGAGATGATGATGGAAATAATAATGACGATGACGATGATGATGAAATTGATAATGATAATGATAAAGACAATGATGATAATGACGGCGACGATGAAGAACTGAAGAAAGAAGATGATTTTGTACCTGATGAGAACGATCATGAGAATAATCATAATAACAAATATTAGTAATAATAACGTCCGTTAATTACACATCAATTACAACACACTCACATTGTTCCGACTAAAATGCAAATTTGCTATCTTTGTCAAAGATCAAAAGAATAGCAGCAATCATCTTTTTCATTACAGTTCTCGGTAGTACAGCTCGGAAAGCCATTTAACAAGAATGAGCCATGCTAATATAGGAATGAAGGTGAACGCAAATAATTTGCCAAATATACGACAAAGAAAATCAGAGAAGAAATTTTATGTGAGCAGAATGGTGGGACTAGATAGCGATGAGTCACTTCGATCGAATATTTCCGATATTATGGAAGTGGAAATAAAAACTGACGAAGAAACGGAAAGCGATGGAGAACATACACAGCGACTTATACCATCGCCAACTGATCACGAATGCATCAACGATGATGCAAAAAAGTCGGTCACACGAGACACTCAATTTAGGCAATTCAAAGATGAGAATGTCTGGTCTATGTCTATACAAATGTTTGTGCCTTTTCTGTTAGCTGGTTTTGGTATGGTGGCTGCAAGTATGTTACTGGATGTTGTACAGGTACGTACAGGTATCGAATTTAATCAAAGCACAATACACAGGTATCGAGAAATGTTTAAACACCTCGATTGAATTCCTTCTTCTCTGTAGCATTGGCCGGTATATCAAACGGTATCCGAGGTGTACATATTGGTACCAGCACTGCTTGGCTTAAAAGGGAATTTGGAAATGACATTAGCTTCTCGATTTTCAACTCATGCAAATCTTGGACACATGGATACAAAGAAACAGCAATGGACTTTAATCGTTGGAAATCTTGCTTTAATACAGTGTCAAGCAACTGTAGTGGGCTTACTGGCTTCTTTAGCTGCTATCATACTTGGTTGGATTCCCGAAGCACAATTTGACATTTACCATGCGCTTTTGTTGTGCGCCAGTGCCTTAGTTACTGCATCCATAGCAAGCTTTTTATTGAGCTTGGTGATGGTTGCAGTTATATTATTATCCAAACAGATAAACATCGATCCGGATAATATAGCTACACCGATTGCAGCTTCTCTTGGTGATTTAACAACTTTGATGCTTCTTTCAGGAATAGCATCTCTTCTGTTCAAAGCAACAGGTATATATATGTATATCTATACATGAAATAAATGTATTACATGAAAGTAAGTTTTACTTTCATGTAATGTTCAAAGGTACAACAGCTTCCTAATTAAACTTTCACGACATTATTTCAGAATATGCACCATGGATAGCACCGATGTTAATAATATTTCATGTCATTGTCACGCCAGTTTGGTATTACATTGCAGCTAAGAATCCATTTACAAGGGAAATATTAGATTATGGCTGGGCACCTGTGATATGTGCAATGTTAATTAGCAGGTTTTTACATGCTCTTTATTTTAGAAATTTAAATTCAACATCAGTTGCTTAACGGTGGTTTCCATTAATTTTAGTATAGGTGGTTTGATACTAGATTATACAGTATCCAATTATAAGGGTATAGCAGTATTTCAATTAGTAATAAACGGTGTTGGCGGCAATTTAGCCGCTGTTCAAGCTAGTAGAATATCGACATCTTTGCATAAAGATCACCGGTCTAACAGTCAAGAAGTACCCACTGTTCGTTTTAACCCATTCAACGTTTTCTGTACCAAAGGTACGTCAATAATAAATAAATAACTTTAGATATTAGATATCTTTTATGAGGTACAGTATGAATGCATTATAGGCGGACACGCAAGGACTGCTAGAGTTTTATTAACAATGGTAATACCTGGTCATTTAATATTTAGCTATACCATTAGTTACCTTCAAGCTGGTCATACTTCTTTTACGCCCATATTTCTTATTGTTTATTTGACTGCTGCTTTAGTACAGGTATACGTCCATTTTCCTATTAGTACTCAGTATCATACAATTGACATAAACCGTAACAATTCGTTTATTCGTTTTAACACTTTCGTTTGATTATTAGGTAATATTGTTGTTGTATATTACGCAATTAATGGTTGTATGGATGTGGATACGAGGGATGGACCCAGATAGTTCTGCAATACCATATCTAACTGCAGCAGGTGATTTGTTAGGAACGGCACTATTAGGAATCGCGTTTCACATACTGTATGCCATCGGAGACGGAGATTCTGATGTTGGAGATTGATTAGACTTTGTATTCAAAGTTCGCGTGAAGTATTGAAAATGTACAGAAAAAAGTACAATCCTATGTTATGTTTGATCAAGTTTAGGACATTCATACAATTCCTATCCTTGTATGTTCCACAACAAATCATATTACTATTATTTTTGCCTTTCGCTTTTTTTACATTTTCTTATAGTTTTTTTTCTTTTTCTTTTTTTCATTTTCCGCTGTACAGTTTTTTTTTTCCTCGTTTTGATGCAAAAAGGACTAAAACGAAGAGAAGTTGTCTAAGAGCAAAGTTTAGGATTGTTTCAATGATCATTTCATAGGCAAATACATTCATGAAGTTTACACGTGTGATCGAATTGTTCGATTTTTAAATGTAAATTTACGTACTTTTTACGCGTAAGTTACTAATGTATAAAAATACATACTTATCGTTTGTATTGCTCTATATATACATGCAAACATGTATATATACAAACATTATCGAACACGTTCATTTCAATTGCCATTAAATTTAAAGCGAGCACGCTGACCATATCGTATGTAACGAAACATGCTCAACTATTTTGTACCAAATATTGTACTTATCAGTCGAAATAAATTCGACTCAAATGCATACGTCATTGTACTTTTATTTATCATTTCTCATCACTTTCCAGGACTTTTACCGTTCTGTTTTTATTACCTACTGTATGATTATATGATTGCTGTAAAAATTGAAGCACGTAACCCAGAACGAGCATTGAACGAGCGGTGGGGGTAGAATGGATTAAGCAAGAGAAGAAGAAAGCGAAGAAAAAAGAAAAATAGAACAAAAGAGGTAAAAGTTTCATAGTAAGATATACACACAGGGGTAAGAACAATACGAGCGCGGTCAAAGATAGGTCAAACAGTAATATGGTTCGAGTTAAGCACAATTCTACTTGGTCTGTTACAGTGGTGTCTTTCTTTCGTATGATATTGTACGATCGAGTTACGAATAGGGCTTAAAGGTTTGTAAGCGTAATCGCATAAGCGAGGCATTTGAGCGTGTGCGTTCAACGAATATACATCGTGATGCGTGCACGTGCACATCAACATTAGTCAACGATTCGCACACGCACAACGTACAAACGAAACGACCAAGCTGTGGTTGAGAAGCACATCAGCCTGTCTCCGTCAATGAAATAGTTAGATCTGTCAGTGCCAACTATCGCCTCGTTCTCGGCGGAGCCTTTTAGATTTTATCTATCGTGTTGCTTGATTAAGTCGTTTTCTAAAACTGTTCTCGTACTGACCTCCCTGCATTCGCCGCGATAGCTTCTAGTTCTCAAGAAGAAAGGGAGAGAGTGTCGCCTGTTTCACCGGTCGAATATCCGTTTCTATATTTCTTTTGAATTGCCTTGTACTGGATACGTACCAAACGAGAAGACAATCAAAGAAATAAAAATCTGCCGAGTCCATTCCATTTTCTCTCGGATCCGTGTCATTCTTTCTCGTTTGCATTTATCGTGCCCCATTCGAACTGTTGTAGATACAAACGTCCTTCATTACTCCGTCCTTCATTCATAGTTTACTTATCGTCGATCACGAACAAGAAAAAAAAAAAAAAAA